TATCTAGGGCTCCGTGGGTGGTCTCAAGCACGTTCTTCTGCTCTCGGAGCGACGTGAGCTTTTCAGGCCGTCACTCCGAAAGTATTTTGGGGATACCAGCAAGCGACAGAGCGAGCTTGGTCCTTGTAATCGAGAGGAAGCGGGAGTCCCGGCCTCTCGATTCAAGGCCTCCAGGCCTCTGTACCGCCCCACGTCGTGAACGCCCAACCGGGCCATTCTTCGCCGAGTCGACGACGAAGCCCGCCACCACGCCGCGGGCAAAGAAAAGGGGGCCACCCTGTCCCCTCGAGGCAAACGGCCATCCGCCTCTGCAGGAAGCCCAGGCGAGCAGCCATCCACCTCTGCAGGAAGCCCAGGCGAGCAGTCATCCGCCTCTGCAGGAAGCCCAGGTCAACAGTCACCCGCCTCCTCAGGAAGCCTCAGCAAGAGAGGTCTCCGAACGCCGGCTCGACCCAGGAGTGGCCTACCTTCCGTGGCGTCTAACGCCCATTGACTTCGTCAGGCCCGACCGGCCACCTACGGATCCTCGGCCCCGGCCAACGGTCAGCCGAGGAACGCAAACCGAGGGGAGCGCTTCACCACCAAGTCCGCCGGTCAGGACGCCGACGAAGCCGTTGACGCCAGGGCGATCGAAACAGCGCAGCCCCACGAAGCCGCTGACTCCCGGGCGACCGAGGGGTCCCTCCATCCGGACCTTTCGCACGCCCAGTCGCCAGCCAGCGACGCCGTCAAAGCGCCCACGACCTTCCGAGTCCCCGGGGCGCTTCGCGGACCTCCTTCGTGCGGCTGGCACAGGCGTCGCCGGACCGCAGCCGATTGAGAACGGCCATCTCAATCCCGCTGCGACCGATTCCACGATTCCAGCGCAGGCCATTCGTGCAGGACCGGACGAAGGCCCTATTTAGCGCGTTGGAGAAAGCGGATCTGCATCGACACCGGCGCTAACACCTCTTCGCACCTCTTGGCGCGGGCACCTTCGGGTGCCACCCGACTTACTTCCTACCTTTCCTGGAAGTCATCCTTTATAAGCCTTACACTGACATTTCCTACCATTGTAAATATAATCTTAAATATATTCAACGTGTTATCCTCATCCGGAGTCATTTGTGGATTACCCTTCATTGCGCTTCTTCTCCTGATCTATCACTACCTACGTCCACAATATTTAGTAACATGCTAAAGAGATGAAGAATTTTATTTACAGGAACATTAATTATTTTAATGTGATACAATTAGTATTCATAAAAAAATTTAATTATTTATTGAAAATGAAAAAATCAGTAATTAGAACAACAATAATATAGTAATATAATTTTAATGTTGAATATTAATTTATAGTAATTTAATGCTTAAAATATTTATGTAAATATTAAATATGTTAGTGATATTAAACAATTATAAAAAAGACTTTCAATTATATATTAATAATAATAAAATATAATAATAACAACAAATCGAATCATCATCATCATCATCATCATCATCATCATCAACATCATCATCATCATAATCATCATCAACTTATCATCATCTTATCATTATTTTATCATTATAATTAAAATTTTAATTATTTAAACATATACATATTTATATGAATTATATTATATATTACATATATATAATTACAATTATGTTTATTAAAATTATTATAAAGTTTAGAAATAATAATAATTGTGTTCATTAATTTTTTCAAAAAAAAAATTTCGACGTCGTCTTTAAAAGAAAAACGGAAAATAACGTCTTCTTCGTCAGCTTACGGAGATAATAGTTAGCTCCCTAAATTTGAATAATCGATAACTGAAACAAAAGAAATAATTATAAATATTTCTATAAACAAATTAAACTTATTAGTTTTTGAGATATTAATCATTTTATAAAAAGAAAAAATTTTAAATAATGAGCATTTTTTTCTTAATTATAATTCTATTGATTATTTTAATAACTTTAATTCTTTTTTTCGATGCTTAAAGTTATTTGTAAAGACATTGGCATTTAACTTTTGCCGTATATATAATTTTGAATAACTTTAACGATTATTAACAATTTAATTTTTTGGTTTGCAATAAAATTTTTTTTTTCTGCTCTCTATGTCTAATCAAATACTTAGCAATTTTTATGATCTCATATTTTCGTTTGACAATTTTTTTTTTAATCTTTTTGGTTTTGATAAGATGTACCTAATGTACGATACACTTGTTTATACTTGTCTTTTTTTTTTAATGTTTAGTATCTCGATAACTATTCCGAAGATCGCAAAATGGTAGATGACTTTTTTCTTTAGTTTGAACCATATTACCTTCACCTTCACACATAATTTACATCACATTTACATGATGTACTACATGATGTAATACATTACATCATATTACATTACATCACATTACATAATTTACATCACATTAAATGTAATGTGATAATTTAATTCGATGTAATATAATGTAATGTTATTATTTATGTAATGTGATGTAATCTTAGTTATATAACGTTACTTATGTAAAAATATGTAATTTGTAACGTAGTTACATTAAATTACATATTTTGGATTACATCTCATTACTTATGTAACTAAATTACATCATATTACATTAAATAATTTGTAATTTAATTTGATGAAACTAAGATTACATCATAATACTTATGTAATGTGATGTAATTTAATGTAATATGATGTAATCTTAGTTAAATTACATCACATTACATAAGTATTATGATGTTATCTTAGTTACATCAAATTAAATTACAAATTATTTAATGTAATATAATGTAATTTAGTGATGTAACTGATTACATCACATAACATTTAACTAAGTTACATCATATTACATCAAATTAAATTATAAATTATTTACATCACACAAATTAAATTATAAATTATTTAATGTAATATGAATGTGATGTAAATTATGTAATGTGATGTAATTTAATATAATGTAACTTAGTTACATCACATTACTTATGTAACTAAATTACATCATATTACATTAAATAATTTATAATTTAATTTGATGTAAACTTAGTTAAATGTAATGTGATAATTTAATTTGATGTAATGTGATGTAATCTTAGTTACATCACGTTACTTATGTAACTAAATTATATTATATTACATTACATCACATTACATAAGTAATATGATGTAATCTTAGCTACATCACTTTACTATTACATAATCCTATCGCATTATATATAATAAAAACTACAAGAGATTCGAAATATTCGATAATCGATTATCTATTGACAAATCAAAATCGCAATCGATTGTCTATTGTTCGATCAGAATCACCGAAAAGAGGCTTCAACAACTTCGATATATCGAGATATTCGAGATATCGATTTAACATGCACTTTTTCAGATAGGATAAGCAAGCAAGAAAATAAAGATATCAAGGTAAATATTGATAACAACGGATCCAGCCCCAATGATCTTGTCCTTCATGTATGTTGTCAAGGTCATGACCCTGAGTGACTATCAAGAGGTTTTAGCCATCGCTCGTTATTC